CATCATATTTTATACCCCTATCTCTATCACGAATGATATTCTTCATAATAGTTTTTCCTCTTTTTATTTCTTTTTCCACTCCCTTACTGGATTTTCCTCCATCATTGTCTCCATCATTAATAGAATCATCGTGAGGGTGCTCCTCGTTACTAGCCATCTAACCTGTAATAAAGAAAAACATTAGTATCTAATGACAAATATTTAATTCCAAATATATAATTCCAAATATCTATTCAGTATATAAAATGACAAATATCAATTGAGTATATAAAATGACAAATATCAATTGAGTATATAAAATGACAAATATCAATTGAGTATATAAAATGACAAATATATAATTTATTAGAAGTTTGCTAAGTGTTAACAGATATGGAGGAATATATATTACCTCTTTCACTAACATCTCTTTCTTTTCTTGGTTGGATTCCGAATTACTTGTCTCTTAAGAACGCGGACGGAGGGATTGATCCAAATTCCCTCATCATGATCTTTTTTGATATATGATTCATCCGCTGTAGTATCATCATCTCGATCGTTTCTAATATACAACTCATTCTCAACATCAACATCAACTTGATCCACACTTTTATCATCAATCACTTTGTTAGATAAAAACACTATAGACCATTTCGTACTCTTCGGGTCTGTGACATAGAACACTTGTTTAGCTTGAGAGGCTAGAATAAAAGGCTCATCTTTGTACCCCACCCTACTAAGATCCACTTGCAAAAACCCTGACTTATCCATTCGTATGCCACTAGTATGTACCCACTTGCAACCAAAGATAGGAATCTGAAACTTCTCATAATCAAACACCCAGATGTGATTGATAACCCCTAAATATGACAAATTTTCATATTTGGGGTTTAAGTCCTTCATACCAGAAATGTGCATTGCTTCACATACCACTGTGACACCACTATTTTGCATGGTACTTTTCTCATCTTGTTCTTTGGTATAAAATGTGTATCCATTAATTCCGTATCCTCTATAAGAGAACACAATCGAACTTGGACCATATGCCAAACATCTCAACCTGTCTGATATTGAAGCGGGATCTGAATGAAACTTTGAATATATATGATCCTTAAACCACTGTATAAAACTTTGATTGTGCTCTCGTACTATCCAATTTTCATTTCTACTTTGATTCTCACCTCGGAGTATAGCCTTGTGCATTTCAACAAACGGCTCAACCTCAGTGTCATTGTGCAGAACATACAAATGCACTTGATCTCGTTCATCCCTTGATACTGTCGCAATTTCATTTCCAATTAATTTGTTACCTTCTTTTTTTTTTTCGAAAAAATGAGATTTGGGGAGTCCAATGGATTGCACATTGGACAAAAAGTCAGTACAAAACTCAACCGCTTCTTCAACAACATATCGCTCAACGATACAACCCTCTGGACGACTTCGGTTTTTCACGTACCCTTTTAATATTTTCATATAACGTTCAACAGGGTACATCCATCTCATATAAGTTGGTCCACACAATTGTGTCTCTTTCACAAGATGAACAACAAGATGTACCATAATGTCAAAAAATGATGGAGGAAAATACATTTCAAGGTCACATAGAGTAATAACGATTTCTTTTTGTAATACTGGTAAGATCTCAGGATCGATCACCTTACTACAAATTGACCTGAAAAAAAAACACAATTTAGTTATAGCGCTTCTTACTTTTTCTGGCAAAATAGAACGTATACCTATTGGTAGAAAATGTTCCATTATGACATGGCAATCATGTGTCTTCAGACTCTTTAACTTGAGGTCTTTCATGGACACGAGTCTTCTAATGTCTGAGGAGTAACCTTCTGGAACTTTAACTTCACTCAGAAACTTACACAATATTTTCTTTTCCTTTCTAGATAGAGTATAAGAAGCAGGTGGTAGATATGTTCGTCTTCCTTTCTTCACGGGTCCTAATTCAGTTCTTATTCCCATCTCTACCATGTCCTCTCTTGCTTTAAGGCCATCCTTAGACTTTCCTTTTATATTGAGTAACGTACCAATAACACTTTCAAATACATTTTTTTCAATATGCATAACATCAAGAAAATGTCTTACGTACAAAGATTTCCAATATGGCAATTAAAAAAAAATTGACCTCTTCTTCCACCCACCTGTGACAACTTTATGTGCAAAAGGCTTGCCAAACTGAATACTCACATCTTTCACCTTTTCACAAATTTGATCACCTGTCAATCCAGGTGGAGCTCTACGTTGTTCGGTATTTCCATTGAACGCTTTTCTCCATCCACGATATTGATGTTTTGAATTTAAGAATCTACGATGACCGAGAAAGACATTCTTTTGACAAAGTTTCAATCGTGTCGTATCGGTTCCATCTTCACAGACAGGACACACTTTTTCACCTTTAATGCTATACCCGGATAGATTTCCATATGCTGGAAAATCGTTAATTGTGCCAAACAACATCGCCCTCAAATTGAAACTTTCTTTCCTATATCCATCATAAACCTCCACACCGTTCTCCCACAAAATCTTCAAATCTTCGATTAAAGGTTTCAAGTATACATCTATGTCATTCCCTGGTTGTTTAGGCCCAGAAATTAACATAGATAACATCATGTAATTGCGCTTCATACATAGCCATGGAGGTAGGTTATAAATCATAAGAATCACAGGCCATGTGGAATGTGAGATACTTTGAAGACCATGCGGGTTCATTCCATCCGTAGATAATGCCAAGCGAAGGTTTCTTGTTTCTCCTCCAAAATCAGGATAATCATTATCAATTTTCTTCCATTGTGGTGCATCTGCCGGATGTCGAAACTTTCCATCGATAATTCTTTCATCTGCATGCCAAGTCAAGTGTCTAGCATCGGTTTCACTATGAAACATGCGTCTAAATCTCGGAATAATAGGAAAATACCATAAGACTTTCGCTGGAGATAATTTTTTCTTATATCGAGATAAACCTCACTTTGGGCACTCATTCAACGATGCATATTCATTTCGAAACAAAATACAATCATTTAGACATGCATGTATCTTATCATAGCTCATGCCAATAGAGCACAACATTTTTTTGGCCTCGTAGGTTCGATTAGGAAGAACATTATCCTCAGGAAGCATATCTCTCAAAAGGGCTAATAACTGTGTGAAACTTTTATCTGACCATCCATTCCGCGCCTTTAAGTTGTACAATTTTAATACAGCAGACAATCTTGTGAATTTGGGGCAATCTTTATACAACGGTTTCTCCGCATCGCTTACCAACCTCTCAAACATTTTGGGACAATCTTGAAGATCTTCTTCAAGTGCTTCTGCAATCTCTTCCACCCGATCACAATCATATGTATCCGTGGCATTGTCGTACGAAACATAGGTCGCATTACTTTTCACCCCCGGTTCAACATTCTCGATGCTTTTCTCACCATGAAATATCCAACACGTATAACTTCGATCAATTCCGCGCATTAGTAAATGCGATTTCAATCCTTCTGCGTCAACCCGACCCACATAACAACAACCCAAGCAAGGACATTTCATTCTATTCGGGTCTTCAGCGTGTTCAACAACAAACTTAACGAACTCTAATACCCCATCCTCGTACTCTTTTGACAATCAATCGGCACACATCCATTTTTTATCCATGGTTTTAACTATTATCTAAGTTAAAGACTCTGTGTTGTCAACAAAAATCAAACATGTGATTAGAATAATTCTAGAAATGAGGATTGTTGTGGTCCTATAACATATTCAATCAATGATCGTCAACGTTACAATTTTAGAGACATTAGCTTAGTTGTGAACTCATTCTAAGATTCATGATTTGTGTTATTTTTTACTATTACTAAGTTGAATATTAGATGGGGGATTTACGTGATGTGATTCCTTTGTTCCTTGCAGGCATGTCTACATGAGCTAAGCATACATTATGAGAAACATAAAAGAAATAATGTAGGGAAATTAAGTGTCATGTTGAATGGTATTTTGACTAGTCCATAATATATCTTAGATTTAAAAAAAATTAAAATAAAAGTTTCAAAAGAGAGAATAGAAACCATAATACCTAAGGTTCCTCGGCTTTTACTCGCGGAGATTGTTAATTTTCTATTTTGCCGTAAGAAGAAAAACAATAAGAAGATGAAGATTCAAGCAAGATCAGAAGAAGCAATCAATGCTAGTAGAATTCTCTTATTCAAATTCTGGTGATGCACTATTCTAACATCTTGATTTCCTGTATCATTCATTGTAAAAACAATACATCAAACTCATTAGTCTCGTTAAACCAACTCAGTTAATTGCTGTGTAGAAATATAAGATATATTAAAATTGACATATGGGTTTGCATGATGCATATTTTCCAGTTTTGTATGATGCATTTTTTTTTCTTTGATTTTTACTGCATATCATCTATTCTTGGGGTTAAACAGAATTATCTGTGAAACTATGCATAGGAAAAGGGGGTCAAACTAAAAGCTTATTATCATACTTGTACTACAAATGTACAAATAGTAGTTTTAATCTTCAAACATGATTTTCACTCAAACTTATTGTTCAACTCACCTATCATATGTGCACATATCCATACATTAATCAATTTATCTTAAATTCACATTTATGATTTAACTAAAATCAATCTCCACCGCCACTAGAAACTAACACACATTGGTATATCTAGTAGCACCACATAACAAATAGTAGCATGTTGTGCCCATAAATCAAACCAAATTACTCCTGTTCTAGTTTGCTCTAGTTAAAATAATATTAATTTCCGTATAATGCTGATAATAAATGTGTTTTCTTATTATTGTAAGAAGACATAATAACTTATTCTATCATGTATCTCTTATCTTATCATCAAATAACCCCTAAGCATTTTGTTCATATAAGCACGAGTATATAAAGGAGCTAATGTTTACAAAAATATTTGCAGGCAATAAGTAATAATGTTTACAAAAGCATTAAGCACAGAGTATATACTACCAAAACGTCTTGCCCTTTAGGACTCAAAACTACTCATGGCTTGCTTCAAACTTAATCTCCTACTTCTTGCATCTCTCTGTGCTTTCCTTTTCCTTTCCAACCCAACACACTGTAGTGGTACTTTTCTTCTCTCGCGTCTTTAAATTTTTGTTTCTCTTTTGGTTACTTTTTCATAAAATTTAAAGTGTTTCACTAACTTTGATTGAAGCATGCATCTTATTTATGTTTCTGTATTAAACTTTGATTGAAGGAAATGAATTTAAATTTTTTGAAGTTTGCTTAATGATAATGATTAACACTTGATTGGTTGGGTTAGACAAAGTGGACAGTGTATCGAAGGGAATCAACAGCTACAGAGAGACAAAGAATGTTGCACCACTGAACAAAAATGACAAGGCAAGTTGTTTAGCTGATGAAGTTGCTGAAGAAATACAAGACACACCATGTGAAAAAGTGAATCAATACTACCCAACTTCTGGTCCTGGTGGAAACCAAAGAATTCCCAATTTGCAAAGACATATAGATAAATGTGATATTAACATGAACACTACAACAGATGGAGTCATTCTACCTGTTTGTGTGCCTAAATTGGAACCAACTGTTGTGCTATCTAATTACACTCATAATGATATCTATGCAAAGTTTCTCAACAATTCAAAGTACACTGGAGTTGGACTTAATTCTGAGGATGATTGGATGGTTCTTGTTCTTACTACTACTACACCTACTGGAACTTTCTCTGCAGCAACTTCTCTTCATGCTAATCTTGTTTCGATGGCTTTCTTGTTTGTGGTGATTCTCATCATCAACTCCAAACCTTGACTGCTTTATTTCTAGATTTTTAATGCTTCATTATGGATAATGGATAATGTATCAAGTTTAATTACTCTTCTATAATCTTTCACATGGCCATCACATTATTTGCTTGCTTGTTGTATGTTTAGTTCAAAAAACTGAATCATATCGAAAACAATATCAGAAACAAACACTTCATCCTTAGAAAACAACTTTCATCACTAAGCTTATTTTCTTCTGGCCTCTTCAGGAAGGGAAAAAGATATGTCTGGAATCTAGATAGATATGTCTGGAAATTTATAAAGGAGCTAATGTTTTGGAAATTGTGCTTCTGTCTAGTTTAGGAAGGATGTTTTCTCAAGCAGCATGTTGAATTCACTTTTAAGCTAGTTTAATCCTGGATGGTTGTATCGCATGACATTTAACTTATCAGTTTTGCAGAACTATATCCATCAAAGAATTTCAAGCATCTGATATGCGACCTCTTAATGTATTAGAAGATACTTTAAATTATCTATTGGGCTTGCTGGATTCTAAGGAGCATCCGTTCGAAGTAGTTCATGACTTCATCTTTGATAGGACAAGGTCTATACGTCAAGATCTTACTATGCAAAGTATTATAAACAAGAGAGATATTTTCATGTATGAGGGAATGGTATAATTTTTTGTCAAATGTCTTTGATTCATATGTTTTCTTCTTTTCATCATCTATCAATTCAACTTTTCTCTTACAACTGTGTTAGGGTACATGATTGAAGTTTCACTTCTGATGCTTGATTTGCAAATACCAGTTTTGAAGTAAATTTTAAGGTTTATTTATCTGATCCGTACATTTTATTTAACACACTAGATGAATATCTATAAAGAAACTGGTCTTTCCAAATACAAGTCCTACGCTGGGCTAGGGGTATTAACACCAAGAGTATATTTTGATTCAGCTTCACAGTCAAGGGCTTAACAGAGAATAGCATAAAATGCAAAAATAACACTGTCTCAACTCAACACTTTCAATGCTAATTCCACAATCAAAGTCCAAACAACTATAACCTGTTCAGTAAGTCCAATGAAAAATGCAATACAACAGAATAAAATCACAAGAGTGTTCTATGAAAGATAATATTTGTCATAGAGAAATGAATGATCATTTTATCACCAACAAGCAAAGTCGCAACAACAGTTCAAATTCAATTGCAAAAGTTCACATATAACAAAAGAAAAAGTGAAGTAAAATTTAACCTAAATAAAGAAACGCAGAAAAGCAAAACGGTTGAGAATGAAATAAACAACAAAAAATAGAGAAAGAAAGAAAAGAGAATACCCTATCAACGAAGCGAGCGTCAAAATCAGCAAAATGAGAACGAAGCAAGTTGGAGATGGTGGTAACGAATCCGAACGAAGCGAGTTGGAGAAGAAGATGAACCACGTCCACGGTGAGGAGGGAGGAGACGAGTTAGACGAAAATGAACAGTTGCATGTATAAAGTGGGGTTTTGTATAAAGTGGGGTTTCTGATAATCAATTTAGGGATTTAGAAATTTTTTAATTACCTTAGACATCACTTTCAAGAAGCGCTGCTAAAGGCATTACCTTTAGCAGCGCTTTAAGGCTTTAGCAGCGCTTTAGTGTAATGCCTTTAGCAGCGCTTCCTGAAAGCGCTGTCTAAGGTATACCTTTTATCACACCTTTAGCAGCGCTTTTGGTAAGCGTTGTCTAAGGTATACCCTTTAGCAGCGCTTATTCTTATTTTTTAATTCTTTTTAATTGAAAACCTATAGCAGCGCTTAGGGAAAGGAAGCGTTGGCTATGATAAAGCCTTTAGCAGCGCTTTTAGTAAGCGTTGTCTAAGGTATACCCTTTAGCAGCGCTTATTCCTATTTTTTATTTTTTATTTATTGAAAACCTATAGCAGCGCTTAGGGAAAGGAAGCGCTGTCTATGGTAAGGCCTTTAGCAGCGCTTTTAGTAAGCGCTGTCTAAGGTATACCTTTAGCAGCGCTTACTCTAATTTTTTAATTTTTTTTTTAAAACCTATAGCAGCGCTTATGGCATAAGCGCTGTCTATGTGGCGCTGTCTAAATTCAATTTTGGCGTAGTGCTCTAAAGTTTAGAAACTAACAGATAATCATCCTAGATAAGAATCTAAGCAGTATATGCCCATAATAACTCAAATCCCTTGCACAGAGCAAAAATCCAGGACAACAATCGACAAATATTTATAAAGAAAATTTTATATAATGCCATGGGCGACAAATATACATAAGTTCAGAGTAAATACATGTACAAACTCAACACATAAATAATACACAAAGAGAAAGAAAAATAAACCACAAATATCCCGGTTTGTCAGCGTCGATTGATGATAAATCCACCCCAGATCATCCGTATGCAAACTTCAATGTTGTTTTCTAAGCTAATCCTGTCTAAAAATGAAGGTTGGTGGAGTTGGGATAAAAAATACCCAAAACCATACCCAAAAAAATGTGTTTTTACACCTAAATACGCATTTCTGACTGTCCAAGATCGTCCGACGAACAAAAAGCGTCGCTCGGCAACCAAAAACAACGTTTTCCCCATGCTAAAGCTCGCCTAGCGTCACCCGACGACTAAAATTTTCGCCCGACGGAAGATGACAGGAAGTTGAAAATTCAGCACAACATTCTGCATTGTTTCGGCCATAACTTTTGAATCGTAACTCCGATGCATCCGGTTCAAAGCGTTGGAAAGCTTATTAAATTCTCCTTCTAACAATGACAAAATATAAAACAAAATGATAATATCTTATTCTTTCATTTTGAGCCTTATTCATTGACGAGTTGCTCAAAATCGCGCGTTTGAAGCCGTGTCTTCGACACTTTATTGCTCATGCTCCAAATACGCATCAATACCTATAAAATGAATGAAAAACTATCAAATGATACACTTTATACATGAAAACGCATTATACACAAACTAAACGTATTTATATACAAAGTTAGGTTATTCAACTGATATTAACAACCAAGAGTCGATAAGTGCAACAAAAAGTATATACAAAATAACTATACTTTTCCACTTATCAAACTCTCCCCAACTTGAATCATTGTTTATCCTCAACCAAAGTCAAATAACATAAAGAAAAAATAATGATAAATCAAAGAATCACAAATCAACAGGTTTTGAAAACGGAAAACAAATGCAGTGGTTCAAATGAAAAACAGTACACACAAATTAAACACTTACCACTAAACTACGACTATAACATAAAAATGAAACAAATGCTTAATACAAAGTGTAAGTGTTTGTTTGTTGGCATTATTTTTTGGTAAAACCAGATTTGCGAATGTCATGACTGATGTCATAACATTCTGGGATAAAGGTACATTCTGCAGAAGGAATGTTCTATAGGAACTACTCAGTATGAGTGATTATCATGATCATTAAGCTATGATCATATGTACTAAATTCTACCAAAATTAGTGAGTAAGATACATGATGTCATAACCAATGTTAAGACATCCTGTACTGATCTAGTTATTGTGCAGATTTATTATTCCTGAGAATTTTCAGGAAACTGGTGTGCTACTATGAGTTGAAGAATTATTGTCCAGATCAGCTTCTCACGTGGACATTAGGTTAACCTTGCTTAACTCTAATCTGTTATGAAAAAGCCCTAGACCAAGTCTTTAGGTTAACTTTAGTTAACCCTAGCTATTTTTATGGAAGCCCTAAAAGAGGAATAGTCTGCTTATATATTTCTCATGAAGCCTAATGGACTGAAGTACTTTTGACAGAAGATCAATAAGGCATTGTATAGTTGTAACTACTGTGAGCCAAGCAATTATCGTTTTGATAAGTGACTTGGAGTAGGATTTGATTGTAAGGGTTGTTTATCACTCAAAGCTTTGAAGCACGAGTGTTTGTGTCTCTTGATTAAAGCTTTGAAGCAAAATCAAGTGTGTGTATTAAAGAATGTCTTCATAATCTCATTAATCAATAGATTAGTATCACTGCTGTGATTGAGGGGGAGTGAGTAGGAACTCAGGTTTAAGTAGGACTTAGATTGAAGTTTCATTTGGTAGGTCTTAAGTGAAGGAGATAAACTGGTTGGTTTATTCCTAAATTAACACCTCTTATAGTGAATTTCCTCCCTGGCTTGGTAGCCCCCAGAGTAGGTGTTGTTACACACTGAATTGGGTTAACAATCGATTGTGTTCTTTACTGTTTTTTTAAATTACTGTTTGGAGTGTGTACAAGTTTGTCAGATACGGTGTCATAACATTCACTGTGACATTAAGTATCTATTGCCAGAATTTCAATTGGCATCAGAGCAGGCACCCTGCTTGTCTTTCTGGGTGAGATCTAGGGATATTATTTTCTGGCGCTATGGACAAGGAAGGAGGATTTGGGAACAGACCACCTATTCTGGATGGATTAAATTATGACTACTGGAAACCTCGTATGATTGCCTTCTTGAAGTCACTAGGAGCTGCTGGCAAAGGATGGAACCATCCACCATAACTGGGAAAGATGGGACGACCAGTCTGAAACCTGAGGAATAATGGAGCAAAGAAGAATATGAGTTAGCCCTGGGTAACTCTAAATCATTAAATTCCTTGTTCAATGGAATTAATAGAAACATATTCAGACTAGTACATCAATGTGAACTGGCCAAGGATGTTTGGGACACTCTCAAAACCACCAATGAGGGTACATCCAAAGTAAAAATGCCAAGACTTCAGATGCTCACTACCAAATTTGAGAACTTAAGGATGATGGAAGATGAGACCATTCATGAGTTTCACATGAACATCTTGGAAATTGCCAACACCTCAGGAGCATTGGGAGAAAAGATGTCAGAAGAAAAGCTGGTGAGAAAGATTCTCAGATCCTTGCCTAAAAGGTTTGCAATGAAAGTGACTGCTATAGAGGAAGCTCAAGATATCTGCAACTTGAAGGTTGATGAACTCATTGGGTCACTTCATACTTTTGAGATGGGGATCAGTGACAATGTTGACAAGAAAAACAAGAGCATAGCCCTTGTATCCAATAC